CTCTCTCTCTCTCTCTCTCTCTCTCTCTCTCTCTCTCTCTCTCTCTCTCTGTCTCTCTGTGTGTGTGTGGGTCGTTGGCTCGTCGATGAGCAGTGTTAGTCCGTGAAGAACGTACACGGATTATCCAGGGGTCCAGTGGATTGTCGGGGAGATAGAAGAGATGGGGTTGGGCTATGAGATGTTAACCGACGGTTCGGCTTCGAGTTTTACCCGCGTTTGCAGGACAGGTAGGTGGGTTCTGTTGAAGAAATGCAAATTTGAATTTTGAGGGGGGAAAATGGTCGGTAGTTGTGGTAGGTGGAAGGGTGGGAAGTTTGGGAGGAGAGGTTTGGTAGATGCTCAAATGAAAATGAATATGGCGAGTCCAGAAACTCTGGCTGCTTCGCTGACAGCAATCGCAATCAGGGGCAACAAGCGACTGGTTCAGAAGCAAACGGAGCTCATGTACTGGTCGGGGTCAGGGTTTATGAACTCGCCTTTCTCTCGGGGTTCCGGGCTTGTACCTCTCGTCAATGCTTTCGGAAGTCACTGTGACAAGAAAAAAAAAAGGACGGCAACATTATCCTGAGTAAAAGACAAAAAGAGTGAGAGAACTACCACGCGTCTTTCTTACACAGGAGCTTCCACTCCTTCGCCCCCCAGGAAGAGCGCAGTGTGTTTGCCCACTGTCTTACGTGTCTGACGCGTGCCAGTTGCATGTGCATCCATACGGGGTACATGTACGTCTTTGCGCGAGCGAGAGAGAGAGAGAGAGAGAGAGAGAGAGAGAGAGAGAGAGAGAGAGAGAGAGAGAGAGAGAGAGAGAGAGATTTTCCTGATTGACGTCAGGGCCAGGGGACAAGATAATCCGTAGACTGTTCTTTGCAAGGGAGGGTTTTACGTTTCTCAGAGCAGACCCAGAAGACTGTTCTTTGCAAGGGCCGGCTTATGCTTCTCTCTCTCTCTCTCTCTCTCTCTCTCTAAACAAAGTTCCTGCGCTGACGTTTTCTTTTTGGTTATATTATCCGGTGTCGACAGCGCACGGGAGAACAATCTGGAGAGGAAAAGGAGGAAGAAGTGGGGAACGCGAAGAAGAGGAAAAGAAATCTCAGAGTTCGTGGTCCTAGAATACGTGGTCCGCTCGCCCACCATCGCTGAGGGATGGGAGAAAAACCGGTGAGTCTCCTGGCCCCATATCTCTGCGGTCTTTTCCTGCCCGGAAAACGTGCGTGTTTTTTTTTTTTTTTTTTTTTTTTTTTTGGATCGTGCGCTTTTTTTTTTAGTCTGCTGAACACGAGATTTCTGAGCTGGACAAAAAAAAACAAACAAACAAACAAACAAACAAACAAACAAACAAACAAACAAAAAAAAAAAAAAAACACGAGCTTTATACGCTGTGTTCTCGTTCGTGTTCTGAATCAAGTGTTTGACCATTGCTTTTCGTCTTTCATTCATTCATTCATTCCTTGGCTCTCCACGTTCTTCGCCGTCATTTATAGTTGGGAACGATTTCATTATTATTATTATTATATATATATTTTTTTGTTGGTGCACGATGATTGCCCCATGCTGAGTCGGGTTTACTAGGCAGCTGTGAGGGCGAGGGAGGGTGGGAGCCTGCTCAACGATGCAAGTGGGACATGGCCCCAGGGTGTTGTAGAGGCCAGTTACTTGGCTCACATTTTTTTCTTCCTCCTCTCCTTCGGTTTCTTCCCAAAGACAGGGCCCGGGGGCGACTTTCAGGCATCAATCCAGGAGGGAGGTCCCACTACCTTAGCGACGGGATAGGATAAAAAAGGAGTTTGTGTGGCAGGAGAGCGACGACCCTGCAATGACTCGTGATCCCACGGTCAGTGTTATACACGAATTACCTGAAAAAAAACAAAGAGATCTCAGTCCCCTTCCTCTTCTCCTTAACACCGGGCATGCTCGTGCACAGATCCCACGGTCAGTGTGCTTTTCTCCTGTTTTCTCTGCGGTGTCTATTTCTTTTTTTTGTGCGTGCTTTTCTCATGTTTTCTCTGCCCAAAAGTCGATAATGAACCTGTCGTGCGGCTGCCACTCAGTGTCACACTGGACACGCCTTAGGCCTATATCCCGCTGCTTACGCGACCACGCGCCTGCGGCTGCCACTCAGTGTCACACTGGATACGCCTCAGGCCTATATCCCGCTGCTTACGCGTCCACGCGCCAGCTGACCAGCCCCAACGAAGTAACTCATTCCGAGTTACTTCCTTCATCTGATTCCCGTTGAGATTCGAACTTGGGTCTGTTTATCAACCCGAGTTACAGTAACTTCGTTCATCTTATTCCGGCGGGATTCGAACTTGGGTCTGTTTATCAGCCCCAACGAAGTAACTCATTCCGAGTTACTTCGTTCATGTGATTCCCGTCCGGATTCGAACTTGGGTCTGTTTATCAACCCGAGTTACTTCGTTCATCTTATTCCCGTCGGGATTCGAACTCGGCTCTGTTTATCAACATTTAGCTACATAGGCTGTTCTCTTGTTTTTCTCCCCGGGCCCTTAAAGATTGGACCATTTCTCGATTTATGTGGGTCACCCTTTGGGACATCCATTAAAACTAGCATGGTCCGTAGGCTGGGTTGTCGATATATCTGCATGGCCATCAAAAGAAGAATGGCAAAAGAAAGGAAGAAAAATAAAGAATGGCCGACAGGTGCTCATGAACATCCATCTAGTAATCCTATCTCATGGGGGGAAGTCCATGACAACGCACTGGGCGCCCGATTTGGGTCGAAGTTTAGGTGAGGGGCGGCAGATGAAGGAGATTGAGGGCGGGGGAGTGTGGAGAGGGGAGTGCATACCGAAATGTTCACAGCCTGCCACACACACACACACACACTCACTCATTACTCGGCATGCACACCACCCACTCACATACATACACTCACTCGCCCGCCTGCTCACACACACACTCACTCACTTGCCCGCCTGCTCACACACAAACCCACTCACTCGCCCGCCAGCTCACACACAAACCCACTCACTCGCCCGCCTGCCTGCCTGCCTGCCCACCCACCCACGCACACACACACAAACATTAATATTAATATTTTGAAGTTCGCTGTTGACTGTTGTAAGGCGCGTTAGCCGAATTTCCCAGTCTCGAAATCGGGTATTATATTATGAAAGCTTTAGACGCAAGATGGGTTTGAAGCCACACAGAGATTTGAGAAACCCAACTGCCCAATGAGATAACCCTTGAGGCAGATTGGGTCCCTGTGCGATTTTGGGGACCGTTTTGTGTATCCCGTGTCAGGCAGCTGGCACGTCAGGATGTGTCTGTGTGTCCAAACCCTAACCTTGCAGAGTGGAAAACCTGCCGTATGGCAGAAATGGAAACTGTGTCGAATAGCTGCCGTGATGCATTTTGCAGCCAAAACGATTTTTAGTTTTTTTTCTAATATTTTTTCTAAAAAGATCACAACGAAATCTATGGACTCTGATTTTTCTATATTTTTTCTTATATTCTTCTGAGCTAGGCTACCAGCCGGGCCGCCCGGGCCCCGGGTTACCAGCCCGTGCAAGGACAAGGGAAGGTCCCAGCAAAAAAAAAAAAATCCAAAAAATCTGAAAAAATACTATGTTATGTAGAAAAATAAACTAAACAACTTTTGCCTCAGGCTCACATCGCAATTCTTTACCGAATTTAAAATATAAAATAAAATTTTAATTTATTTTTTTTTTTTTTATCTTTTTGGCCTGGCCGGGCAAGTGACCCCAGGCCACTCTGGTAGCCTAGCTTTTGAGCTAAAAAAAATCACGGCGGGACTTTTCTGTTGGCCAGCACATGGCATGGCTGCAGCGAAAATGGAAAAAGTGCCGAATTTGCGTGGTGCTTATTAAACAGTCGAAATGATTTTTTAATTAAAAAAAAATGTTTTTTTCTGGAAATATCACAACTTAATCTACAGGCCCTCCAGTTGTCATGATTTTTAACGCATTCTTCTGACCGTGAAAAAACACTGAAGTTAGGATCCTTTTTTTTTTTTTTTTTTTTTACTTTTTTTTTGCGAGCAACCACATGCTCCAATTTAGCAAAAACTGAACAGGGTTGAAAAAAGTCTAGGCACAGAACGGCCAACTCATAGGCCACTGTCCTGAAGAATCAGACCCTGCAACAAAAAAAAAGTTACAAGCCCACAACACCTCACAATCCAACAAGAAACAAAACGTCAAATTCCAAAAACAAACCACAAAGAAACTCCCCCAATCCACTATCCTATCTAGACCCTATCTAAACAGTGCTGCCTAACACGGCAGTTCCGAACCTCCAACTAAAAACAAAGGCAACACGCCTAAAAAAATCACAGATAACAAAACCAACCCCCCAGCCCCCTTGCTATCCTATCAACTAGCTACCCTAACAATGCTTTCCTATCTAAACGGGTGCTGCCTAACACGGCAGCTCCGGACCCCCGGACCGGACGGGGTTCAGACACAACTCCCTCCGCATTCCCTCAGGACTGCCATCCTCCTCCGGATAAAGGAACCGAGTGTGCAGGTTCAGGATCTGTTACCTAATCTTCCCAAAACCAACTATTCAGGGTCAACTTCCCGTTCTCAGAACTCGTAAGCGTACCCCCTACACCCCATGTAGTCCTGAACCAATTGGACCAACCCTCCCCGGCTTTCCTTCTCCAATCCGCCTGAACAATTCGTCTTAACGAGGAATGAGACATATGTCTCAGTTCCTTGTTCTTCATTTCTCTACCCTCGAAAATTGACAAGTTCCGGCTCTTCCAAATCACCGCACAGCAGACCGCCCTAACCACCTGGGCTATACCCTATTCCCTTACTGGTATCCAGAGTGTCTGGAATACCGCCCAAGAGGGCCCACTCTCTGTCCCAACTAAGTCCTGGGCCCAACAGTATTTCCCATTGCTTAGCCCACCAAACCCATACCCGCTTAGAGGCAGGGCAGTCATGCCACAGCAAGTTAGAGTCTGGGAACAATGCGACGAAGAAGGAAACTGGACATGTCAAGTGCACGCTCAGGGTAAGCCATTGAAGGATTTAAACTTGGACCCAAAGATGTGTGGGTGGAAGGGAAAAGGACAAGGAGGAGAAGACTTGCCACTGATTTCATATTCAGTAGATCTGGGATATCAAGCTCAGACTCCGGGTAAAACTCCAATGTCGGTGGCAGTGATTCGGTGGACTCAAGTCTTAGATGTCCACTCACAAGTAATCGAACATCAGCTATTACGCTGCTGGGAAGAGCTGGCGGATTTCCCCTGTCCCAGGTTGGCAGTGAACTTGTGGCTATTATCTCTTCTATCTACCCCATCAGCGGTTAATCTTGCACAGAGGGGAATGAAGGTAGACCTGACTTGCAGAAGATGTAATTGGGCCTACGAATCTAGGATCCTTTTTTTTTTTTCTTTTTTTTTTTTTTTTGTGAGAACAACCCGATCGGATGCTAGGTGTGCTGGTAGGGCAGACACCTCTAGCACTGTCGGGGAGGCTTTTCCGTTGGCCGACACGTCGAAGAGTGGCAAAAATGAAGAATGCACCGAATTGGCACAGCGACCATTTCAACATCAAATTGTTTTATTTTTAGTTTTTCATATATTTTTCGTAGGAAGATCAGGACCTAATCTATGGGCCCTCCAATTTTCAGGATTTTCAACGCATTCTTCTGAGCTTGAAAAATCACTGAAGTAAGGGTACTTTTTTCGTCGACCCACACGTCGCGGAGGGGCAAAAACTGAAAATGAACCAAATCGGCGCCACAACTATTTCAGGGTTGAAATTTGAAAATAATTTTTATTTTTATTTTTTATATTTATCCTAGAAAGATCAGGACCTAATCTACGGGTTCCCAAAATTTTGGATTTTTCTGGTCATTGTTTTAACTTTTAAGCGCGAAAAATCGCCAATGTTACGGTATTTTTTTGTTACAGGACTGGACCCGCCGGTAACCAACGGTCACTGCCTTTTGAAAAACCTCGCCCTAACTCATTGGAGGCAGGTTTTTGGTTGGCGGGGACAAGGTCGTTTGATGAGTAGGGGAGCAAGGCCCACGGTCTCCACGGGAGCTGAAGCTGGCTAAGCCGCTAAGGGCATCACCACACCACCCCCTTTTTTTTCCCTTTTTTTTTTGACAAAATGCTCCAATCTATTCATGGGGAGCCGCACGTGCTGTCAACC